GTGCCAGTGGAGTGGAGAGAAACAAATTAGCTTCATTTGTAGCCACGGTATTAATTCAGAAGAACAACAATAACATAAACAAAAGAAGCATCCATCAGAAGGGGGGAGGAACTCCAGTTGGAATGCAGACAAGTGAGACTCAGAGAGGCAGCAGGTGAGAGCCCACAATGTAAGAAGGGGAGACCATGGCCCGAAGAATCCACCGGCCTAGTGGCTGCCCAACTATTATCCTGATGCCCTTAAACACTGGAATTGCAGTCCATTCTCATCGGGAAAACTTTACCATGAATTAATTACCACATGGTTTCCCCATCGGGAGAGAAGGACCTAGTCACGTGATAGGTCTGTTCGGACTTCTTAACTTCACCTCGGAGATTCAGTATCGGACACAAAACAGACTCCATGAGACACTACTTTATCAAAATTGCCCAGTGCTATATACTAAAATAATATCCTCAGATGCTGAGTGTGTCTACCATCCATACATCTGGCTCCATGTGACCTGTTCCTACAGGAGCCCAAGCCCCTCAGTAAGTCCTGAAGGTGGAGAGATGCTAAAAGGAGCTGTTGGCGGGCTGAGCTGGATGCGGGAAGACCTCTTTGTCCCCGGTCCTGTCGTGCCTATGCTCTCTCAGTCCATCCTGACACAGGTCCATCATCAGCTTATCTCTAGCTCAGCTAGTCATTCGCCTGCTAGCTTGACTCCCATTCATCTTTAGGAAAACAAAATCTGCCCTGGCCAGTTTTGCTCAGTGGTTAGAGCATCAGCCCACAGTCCAGAGAGACCCGGGTTCGGTTCCCGTAAGGGCAGGTACCTCAATTGCATTTTGTCCCTGGCCCCGTTTGGGGTCATGTGGGTGGCAACCAGACGATGCGACTCTCTCACATTGATGTTTCTCTCTCTCTTTTTCTCCCTCTCTCCCTCCTGCTCCATCTGAAGATAAATGCAAAACAAAAAGCAAAAAAATGTCCTCGGGTGAGGATAAAAAAAAAGAAAAAAAAAAGAAAAGGAAATCTGATTAAAAACCCTGCCAATAATTAGTTACTCAGTTCACCTTCCACATACTATTCTAATACTCCTCTCGAATTTGTGGCAGTCTTTCTTATAATCCCGCCCTCTCTTTCCCTGGGTTCTGCATTCTAACTTCTGGGAAAACCTTTTGAAGTTCTCAGTAGCAATGAAGTCTGCTTTGTGTCACGTGAGAACACTTTACAAAGCTCTGTCTCCTCTCCTGGGTCCTACACTTGAAATTCAGAGCTCTCCTCGGTGATTAAATATAATTCAGCTTTATTGAACCCCGTGGGAATTTATTTATTATTTAGATTGGATCAAGGCCTAAGACCAGAGTTTGGACAAAAGCAGCTCTAGTGTGACTCAGGTCTACATTTACTCATTGGTTCGTTTAGCAGCTACTCGATATTTACCAAGCTCCTCTGTCCCAGAGGCTGTGCTGACCTCTACGAATAGAAAAATGAGGAAGCTGGTTCCGGACACAAGACTCTGGAACCTGAGGACCAGGGCTCAGATCCTGCCATTGTCACTTACTATTTACTTAACCTTTCTGAGCCCTAGAATGGAAATGAAAACATTATCTACTCAAAAGAATTCTTGTGAGCATTGCATGGGAAAGGTCTTAGCAGAATGCCTGCCACATAGTACATACTCAGTAAGTGTTAACCATAAGTCCTGTGTGTTGTCAGCAGCTTCTGACATGGCTCCCAATGATCCCCACCTCCTGGTCATGTCATTGCATGTTCTTCTGCCCGATTTGGGACGTGCTGGTCCTAGTCACATGCTTCTAACCAACAGAAACAGCAAAAATGAGATAGGATGCCTGTCGCTTCTGGGATTAGGTTGCAAAAGACTATGACTTCCATCTTGTTGGTTCTCTCTCTCTCTCTCTCTCTCTCTCTCTCTCTCTCTCTCTCATTGCTTGCTCTCTTTGATGAAAGGACCACTTGACAAGGAACTGAAGGTGATCTCAGACCAATAGCCAACAAAGACCGGAGGCCAAGAGGAACTGAAACCACGTGAGTGAGCTTGGAAGCAGATCCTGGTCCAGCTGATCCTTGAGGTAACTGCAGGCCCGGCCGCCACCTTGCCTGCAGCCCTGCGAGGAGAAGGTCCCTGAAGCGTAAGATCTCGCTCAGCCCCGCTCAGATTCCTGACCCACAGGAACGATGCAATAAAACCTCAAGCTTTAGGGTAACTTGTCACACAGCAATGGATAACTAAGACACTATTATTTTTAAAGTGTGCGGTACCCTGGAGAGACAAGACAGAAAAGAGTGTGTGACAGGAGCAAGGGATATAGAACGGAGGTATACAAGCAGCCAAACGATCAAGAGCTGAGAATCGCAGGCTAAATGTGTGGGACTCTCAGGGGAGCAATGAGAAGTCATCAGATGTTCTTTCAGGAGAGTAGAAACTCAACTTGTTCTTAAATAATAAAACAAATACAGAGTCATTTAAAAAAAAAAAAGTCTTTCAAGAGAAAGAGCCAGAATGCCTTCTTGAACTGGCACATTATCCAGGATATAAAATTGGAAAACTTCCTGAGAACTGAGGTCTCTCATATTCAGCCCCTTCTGCTGTTAGGCAAATCAGTTTGGGATTTATATCACCAGGTTTAATGGTGAAGAAAACAAATGAAAGTGAAGTTACTGAAATAAACATTTTCATTAACTTCAAAATCAGCGAGTTCAAAATCAATTAGGTTTGTAATATCCTTATCGAGGACACAAGTAGTGAATTAATAACAGTGAAAATGAGCTTTTAAGAATACAAAAGAAGTCAGACTTCTATAAATAACTTTTGACATTACAGTTTCCTAAATCAATAAAGATACATCAGTTTTATCTGCACACCTCTTTTTAAATCCTGAATCAAGACTTTACATATACGTGCCCTTGGACTGGTCCCATAAATCAGTTTGAAAGTGGCACAGTTTTTGCACAAGAGCCATAATATCTATGTATCTAGGTCTTGTCATCATAAGACAAAGCAACTGAGATAAGAATATGGTCTAAAAAATAAATAAAAAGAAAATATCTCTGAAGTATTCACCGAAAGAGCCAGGTTCAAAGGAAACAGCATGGGGGAATTCGGTGTGGGAAAAATGATTACTAACTTGGAATCCACAAGGCAAATCCTAAACCTTACTATTGAAAGAGCCTATAACAGCCCTGGCTGGTTTGGCTCAATTCAATTCTGGCCAAGGGCACGTTCCTCGGTTGCAGTTCGTCCCCAGCCCTGGTCAGGGTCATGTGGGAGGCAACCAGTCTCTCTCTCATTGATGATTCTCTCTCTCTGTGTGTGTGTGTGTGTGTGTGTGTCTCCCTCTCTCCCTTCCTCCTAATCTGTCTGAAGACAAATGAAAAAATGTCCTCGGGTGAGGATAAAAATAAATAAATAAATAAATAAATAAATAAATAAATAAATAAATAAATAAATAAATAAATAAGCAAGCGAGCCTATAACAGTTATGGCACAGAATGTCGCACATTCATTTTTTTGACCAGTATTTTTTGAGTACCTACTATGTGATGGGCACTGCACTAGGCTTCAAATAACCTTCTACTTAATACTGGCATTGGAAATCAATAGAACCTTTGATTTGTTTTGTTTTTTTTCCTGAAGACCTAAGGAGGCCTAACATAGGAGGAAATTCTCAATTTAAAGTGACCAGAGTCTGAGCCTAACCATTAACTTGCTAAATTGTTATTCATTTCACCTCTCTAGGGCTCATGAGCAGAAAGAAGGAGATATGCTCAATTGTCTATAAAATTGCCTCCAATTCTAAAAGACTGAATCAATAGCCCCTTGAATACCCAAATTCAGCTCATTCTCAAACTGCAGGAGAGTCCTACGGAGTTCATGACTGAAAAGGAGGAGGCTCTCTCTCACCATCTTGACGGATCGCTTTGGTAACACAAGGGTCCCCAAGAATCCCCAGGACCAAGCTCAGTGTGTTCTATCACCAATGTTTGGCACAGCCCAAGTAATCTGATAGGATCCTCATTCAGTATAGCTACTGATGGAGGAAACACTTGGAAGCAGAAGACCTAGAACCAGAAGAGCAGCCACACCCTTTTTCTTCTAGAGATGAGTCAAGTGTGGTCCACAGAGGGTCAGTGACCTGCCCCTAGATAGATACACATGGAGCATCTATCTTCAGTCTGTTCTATTACACCAGCATAGACAGAGCTGGTCTTAAGCTAAAGCATCCCTCTAGATATTGCCGCATCTGGTGACTACATTTCTAATTCCTCCAACACACCACAGTATCTCAGAACCATAGAATGCCTAGTGTCCCCAGACTACCTCTGTCCCTCTCATTTCAAGGGCAAGAGAGTCAAAACCACAGGAGTAAAGTGATGGGGTACTTAGTAACAGACCCAGAGCTAGGACTCAGGTCAGCATTCAGTTCAAGTCTCATTCTGCTTCCAAAACTCTCTTCCACTTACTCATCCCATGGATCTACTGAGTGCCCCCTAAGTGCCTGGTGCTGTGTCCAGTGCTATAACCAGACTCAGACCAAAACACTGAGTTCAAGTCTCTCATTTGGTACAAGTGAGCTGGTCAGGCAGAACCCAGCCTGGGCAAGACCAGCTCTAAGCAAAGTCCCAGCGGCAAGTCTGAATAGAGAAAGTGATGACAACCAAAAAAAAGTCAAAACCTATTCCTGTAATACCCCTGACAATTTCTTCTAAGACCTGAGGACCCCTTACTCTAGTTTTCACCTTTCTCCTTTTAGTATTTTTCACAGCAGCAGGTCAGATCTAATCTCTGCTGATTCCTCCAAGGGAAGTAGTTGGAGAGGAGAGTGATGTTAGCAGATAAGCTGGAATTAGTTGAACTGACTCCTTGGGTGCGTAATGTACTTTACTAAATCAGAGATAATGAATTCCACAGAGAGCGGATGAGGGAAAGCAAAAAATAAGCAGTCTAATTACATTTCATTTCAAGGGAAGCAAAGGGACGGTCGTTGAAAGTTCACCTTCCTGGTCCCCCGAGTGGACAAAGGGGAACACGGGCCTTCGTGATTTGTCTGGCAGACAGTGGGCCCCCCTGGCCATTTTCTCCACTCACATCTTCTTTGTCCTTCCGAAAGCAGCTGGTTTTTGAGAGCCATCCTTCATTCTTGTGGGGTCAGCGTTAGCTGTCGTCTGTGTGAGAAGAGAACTGCCTGGCAAAGGGAACAAGAACTCGGGGACTAAGAAACCCTTTGTCTGCTGCGTGCCCTGCAGTTATTTATCTCCACGATGGGGACTGCCCGTGTCTCAGAAATTGCTGAAAGGGAAGAGAATGTGCTGAGTGGCCTCAGGAGGAACCCCTGAAACAGATATGCTAGCTCCAAAGGGCCTGTGCATTCTCTGACACTGCTCCCTTGAGCACCAGGTGAAGGCTAGTCCTTCCTCCACTTGCAAAGTCGGCTACACTTGGGATTTTACTTCCAACAAACAAAATGGAGAAGAAGCGATGCTGTGTGACTTATGAGAGTGGGTCATCAAAAGGATAACTTCTACCTGGCTTTTACTCTCTTGTCGTGCTTGTTCTGGGAGACGCCAGAGGCCATGTCCTAAGGACACTCCACAGCCTGTGCAGAGGTTCTCCTGAAAAGGATGTGGCCTCCCACCAGCAGCCAGTGCCACCTTGCAGTCCTGGGAGTGAACCACCTTGGAAGTGGGTCCTTCGTCCCCAGTCAAGCCTTTAGATGACCTCAGCTCTACGTGACATCTTGATGGCTACCTCATGAGAGACCCTGATCCAGAACTGCCCAGCTTGGCCACAACTCAGTCATGAAAAATTAGAAATACTTCACACCACAAATCTTAGGATATCTGTGACACAGCAATAGGTAACTACTAAAGTATATGAGCCTGGTTCATACTCAACTTAGAAAGACCCCAGCCTAAGATGACTAGAAGGTCAGAAGAGGTTGGGTAAATGAGGATAGAAAAGAAAATGGGGAAAAGAGGGAGAGAAGATGAAAGGGAGAAAAGTAACCTCTTCTACTCTGGTCTTCACTTGGCTCTTTCTTCCCTAAATTTTTGTCCCTCCCTTGCCATATGCTTTTGCTTGTTCTCATATGTGCTGGCTTTATCTCACCATCTGGCCCACTGACATCCTAAGACAGAAACAAAACTCATATTTCTTCTGTATTGTTCATAATGCCTGGTAGTGCCCTGTACTAAGTGAACTAAGACCTGTGGATACAACTGGAAGGCCAATTGTGACTCAATATCACAAAGAACATTCTAACAGAGTTTAGCAGGAAAGTTGTGCTGAACCCTATATAATTTTATTAACCAATGTCACCCCAATAAATTCAGTTTTAAAAAATGAAAGTTGTGGTGGGGCATGAACTTCAGATGGGGGCTGAGCCATGGACAATATTTTGTGTACTATGGATACTAAGCAGGCTCTGAGAGATGGTAGTAGACTGTTACTATTACTATTACTTTGGTGCCCCCTAATTAACTACACCTTTCAGTATTTATGTCTTTGTGTAGCCCCCTATCATACTGTCTCTGAACTTGAACAAGTGATTTTATTTGTCCAATGGGACATTAGCAAGCATGATACAAATGGAGGCTTGGAGGCTTGATAAGTACTTGTACATTGAAGGCCCGATCACTTCTTAGAACTCAACTACCATGCTGTGAGGAAGCCCAAGCAGCCATGTGGAGAGGCCCACATAGAGAAAAACCAAGGGCCCCAGCCAACACCAATTGAGCCTTCAATTAGTAAACAATGCCAATTATCCACCATGTGAGTGATGCTATTTTGGACCAACCAGTCATCTTAATACTCTAACTCAGCGGTTCTCAATCTTTGTGGGTTGAACAACCCTTTCATAGGGGTTGCCTAAGACCATCAGAAAACACATATTTCCGATGATCTTAGGAATCAAGACACCGCTCCTCTATTCGTCCCCAGGCGGGTCCACCCACATGCAGATACACCCACATACAACCTGAGAAACTGTATTAAAGGGTCATGGCATTAGGAAGGTTGAGAACCACTGCTCTAGCTGATACCACATGAAGCAAGAAATCTGTCTATTCAGTCCACAGAAGCATGAGAAATAAATTGTGGTTGTTGTTAGCCACTAAGTTTTGAGGTGGTGAGTTACACAGCAATGGATAAACAAAACAAAAGTCAATCCCAAACCTGGAGTAGGACCATTTCTCAGGCCACACAATTTTCTCAGCTGTGACTCAGAAATGGGCCTCAAACCAGAGTATGTCTATTTATAAAACCTGAGTTCTTTCCGCCACTGCCTCCAAAATCATGAGAGTCAGTGAATATGGAAGAACTTGACAAACTCCCAAGTGTCTAGCAGATGTTCTCTCAGGTGCAGACATCAAGGGCTGCTATCATTTTTCTTCCATTTCTGCCTCTAATTGTTATATCTGCTTTGTGTTTCCTTCTGTTTTTCCATCATTCCTGCCAAGATCTTTCAACTTCCTAGTGCTCCTTCAAGCATCACTTGAGGCCAAAGCCACCGCTGACCCCTGATATAGCCCATATTCTTTCCCAGGCTTGAGTTCTGGGCTCAAAGCATAACCAAATGGCTTTAAAAAGTTATTCACTGAGCCTTGGTTTCCCCATCAGCAGAGTATGGAAATCATAGCCTGTCCTGTTGGATTCCTGAAAAGACTCAGCAAGAAAAAGGATAGAAACGCCCTACCTATAACTAAGTCTAGACTTCGTAGGAAGGTCTCTCCCTTTTTCCCCTTTTCCTTCTCCCCTTTTAGCTGCTCATCTGCAATGCAGTTCCCTGTGCTCTGGCCTCTCTATCATGAGAAGACTCAGTCAACTCATCTGCTCCTCACTAAAACCGTGGAACAAGGGATTCTAAATTCTAGATGAAATACTTACGGTTCTTTTGTGAATTGAGATCATGTGAGCAATCCTAGACCCTCTGCCCTTTCCAGAAAAAAATAATAATTGTGTTCATTTTCCATGACCCCAGAATATAAGTAAAGAGAATTCTCTTTTCACTCAAAAGATAGAAGTCATTTTGTGACAAAACAGTAATGAGAAGGGAGGAGAGAGGGATGGAAGTAATAAGAAAATATTCCAACAATCTATATTATGAATATATATATGTATATTTATATCTCAGCAGGCCCTGCGGAGTTACAGATGAGCTAATTAAAATGCTTATGCTTTTAGCAATGATGTTTATTGAAATCATTTTATAACCATCTAAATTGAGGTTTGTTTTCGACTATAATGCAGTGCTACCTGAAATATTCTGAACTAAATTATTTATGTGCCTAAAAATACATTGCCTTTCCCCATTGCTGACTTTGTGGATATATCTCAAGATGTGGAAATTTTTGGTGAGCTCAAGTGGCTTTTACAGGCTCTCCCTAAATCATCTGTGCCTAACTTTTAGGTTCTCTGACTCCCAGTTGAATGGTCTTTGCATTGCACCCTACCCAAACAAATGCATACATGGGTTGGGAATGTGTAAAATGAGGGCCCCTGGGATTGCTGAAGTAAATTTCTAGAAGGAATTAGAGCCCTTGAACTCAGCTCATAAAAATGAAGATTAATGCCCTGGCCAGTTTGGCTCAGAGGTTAGAACGTCAGCCCGCGGACCAGAGAGTCCTGGGTTCAGTTGCCGCTAAGGGCATGTACCTCGGTTGCAGTTTGTCCTCGGCCCTGGTTGGGGTTGTGTGGGTGGCAACCAGTTGATGTGTCTCTCTCACATGGATGTTTCTCTCTCTCGTTTCCTCACTCTCTCTCTCTCCTGCTCTATCTGCAGATAAATGCAAAAATGTCCTCGGGTGAGGATAAAAAAAAAAATGAAGATCAGTGAATAGTCCTGATTCTCCATTCCTCCATAGAAAGGACTCTCCAAGCTACACCTGAAAGCCAGAGCATAAAACAAAAAATAGAAACCACTCTAGGTATTTCAAACTAAAAGGTATTTAAACACTGAGTATTAAGTGTTCATCAAACTTTCGAAGGGCTGGAGAAACAAGATACACACATACCACAGTCTATAGAGTTAATAACATATCACTGAAGCTATGACCCAGCTGTCAGGAAGCTGCTGCTACCCCATCCCCTACTCCTGCCATAATTGCCTTGAAGCACCCTTGAACCTGATGACTAGATGTTGAGCTGCTGAGTCCAGCCTCCATAGATGCCTCTAAGCATGCACAGTTTCATGACCTTGCTTGCCAGGAGCAACAGCAGTAGTATCTGAATCACGTCTACCTTCCAGTTTTGCATGAGTGCATCTAACTGGCAGAACCTACCTTATTCACAGAACACTGCTTGCAAAGGAGTCTGGGAAAATGGTGTATTTGCTTTCCAACCTCTACATCTGGAAAGAAAGTAAAACAGCAGTTGAGCCCTGGCCTGTTTGGCTCAGCGATTAGAGCGTCAGCCAGCGGTCCAGAGAGACCCGGGTTCAGTTCCTGCTAAGGGCACGTACCTTGGTTGCAGTTTGTCCCCGGCCCTGGTTGGGTCGTGTGGGTGGCAGCCACTCGATGTGTCCCTTTCACGTCGATGTTTCTCTCTCTCTCTCTCTCTCTCTCTCTCTCTCTCTCTCTCTCTCTCTCTCTTCCTCTCTCTCCCTACCACTCTATATGAACAAAAAATGGAAAAATGTCCTCGGGTAAGGATAAAAAATAAATAAAACAGCAGTTGAGAGTATCAATTTACCTTACTTACCACAGCCTACCTCTTCAGCCTCCAAATATAGCCTTCTACACAGATTCAATTTTCCAAGCACCAACAGCATCAATGCTGAACATAAGCGACTATCTCTCATACAAACAGAAGCATTTCACCTTTTCCCAAAAGAGGATATCCAAAGTCCCCTCAGTCATGGAGTGGTCTTCATTTTCCTTCCAGTTTATCGCATTCCCACTTGGTATCCAAGAATCTAAGCATGTCATGGGCCAGTTAACCACCAACAAGACATCTTCAAATAGTAAAAGAAAAGGTTGAAAGTAAATGCATTGATACATAAACATATATGCATAACAGAGCAAGAAAAAAGAAAATCTGAGAAGCTGCTATATTTCTTCTTTCTTCAACTGGTCATGAGGCCAGAAATGGACTTAGAGCTTCTTCCGT